CAGGCCTAATGCTTAATGCTATCGCAATATTTTCAAGCTTGTTAGAGTTGATTTTTATGCTGCTGGAATTTCTTTTTTTTTTTTTTTTTCCTATAATAGATTTTGAATTCAACCTGTCTTTTTCCGTTGAAGCAGACAGCATAGTGGCTGAAAGTTAAGCAGAAAGGTTTACTCGGTCATCTTTTATATATGTGGTAAGGTTGAGTTTCAGTGTATTGATTTTGGCAGAGGTATATTTTTGCTTTCAGAATTGATTTTTATTTTAATGGTTAAAGTATAGGGGCTATGTCTGATACTTTGTCTGCACACCAAATTGGTTTTTCTTTATATATTCTAAAAGAAATTTGAACAATTTTGGGGGCAAGGGCAAAGGATCAATTGCAAGAATTTATGGTTATCATATGGTTTTATATGAGTTTAAAGGCTGGCCAAAAAAGAAGGGAGGGATGCATAAGTGCATTGCCCTATGTACCTAAAAAAAAAAAAATGGAAGGGAGGGAGGGAGGTAATATTCATAAAGCTGACTGAGTTTTTGCTTAAACTAGGTTATTGAGTGTCATGTATTTTGTTTGATACCATGTCAACCATCAGCTCTGATTTGAATCTTAGGGCAAGTAGACTTCTGCTAGGTTAAGTAGTAGGGAAGGGCTTTTTGGGTTTTGCGTAATGTTAGGATGGGTTAGAAAAGGCTTCCTGCTTTGCATGCGCCATCTCAAGGTTGGGTTACTTGATAGGAAGGGATGGTATTTATTGATGTGCTTTCTTGGGACAATGTTGATTATTGAGCAAACCAACCTTTTCTCAAAGTGTTTGGTTATTTTATTTTGAGTCCTGCCATTCCCATGCACTTATCAAACATAAAGAAATATTTTTGCCTTCAGGTTATGTCATTTTATCAAACTGAGATCTGTCACAAATTGATTATGATTTAATGTTCTAAAGAATGGTTATGAATGCTCTAAAAAGCCTTAAGATAATTGTAATCTTTGATTCATAATGTGAAAGAACTTTCAATTTTCTATACTTAGCAGCACTAATCTGCAATATTCAGTAAACTATCGAGTATAAGCTGATTAGCACAGATGCAGAACATCCTAAATGACCTTCGTTTATTTGTTGTTTCAATATTCATGATTTGCAAAAGTTTGGGGATATGGCAGTGGAGTAATGAGTAGCAGGGTAACGGTAATTGTCTAATCTTTCAATATGATATTTTCTAATCTTGTAGCTTTAAAGTTACTATTGAAGGTTTTTTAATAAAAGGATTAAATTGCTTATTCAAAAATTAATAACAATAATAATAAAATAAAAGGATTAAATTGCTGTAAGATTGAATGAATTAGGGCTGCATTTATTGCACCTTTTCTCCATTAATTTAATTCCTATGGAAAATTACAAAAGATTACTTAATTTTCAACACCAATGTCATGTTGTTGATTTTAATTAGACAGTTGATAATGCTTAATTTTCAACACCAATGTCATGTTGTTGATCTTAATTTGATGGTTGATAAAATCAAGGTCAATTTTTATTGTTTCTATAACAATTAATGAAAAAAAGTGCAAGAAATACCCCTTGGGGCACAGGTTAGAAAGCTCCCTTTAGCCATTATAAGTTGTACGTCATGGTAGTTCTTAGATCAAACAGTCATAGGAAATAGGGCTTGCCAAAAATTAACTTCTAAGCACAGTTAGGATTTCGTTTACAATTGATTTTCACATGGATTGATTTCAGACTTTCAGTCACTAATCCTTTGAGAATCTTTTAATGCTTCGCAAAAGACTCATGTTTTCTTGAAATGCAATTTCACTTGGAGATGACTGGAGCAGCCTTTTCAAAGTTTAAGTGGCAATTCTGGACTGCAAAATTGCATCTTATTTGTGTTCATATCAGGTTTGTGGTTTCATTCTTGAGTGGCATACACTTAAATCATTGATACAATCAGTTCTTCTGCTAGCAATTTAGCTTATAAGAGTATATTCATGATTGACCTTTCCTGCTGTGAATGTAAATATGATCCTGTTTACTAAGATATTATATATTGTGGAACAAACTGGGAGACCACAATGGAGTTTTTCTCTCTTATCTTGTTATTATCGGACTTAGGGAAAAGCATAAATTAGGTTGTAAAACAAAATTTAGATTTTACATATACCAGATGAGGGTGTATGGAATGTATTGTGAATTGCGCTCAGGTGCATGAGATGAATGTTTGAAGCCATTTTACCTAAGAAGTTACAGCAGAGCTACAGAAAGAAACAAAAATGCAAGGAAAAAGGGTAGCTAAATATAATCTGAATCTTCAATCAAGAATACAATCTGAATCACAGCGCATAATATATAACAAGTTTTATGAAACTGAAGTTGGTTGATTGGTTAGTACTTTAGGTTGATGGTTCTACTGAAAGGAAGATCTGTTTCAATAAGATTGATACTTTGGATCAAATTTGTGAACTCGGTCTTAGCTGGTTTTGCTATCAATCTCCTATGGGAAATTGTGATTTTTATTTTTTTGATGGAAAGGAAATTGTAATGTTAAATGCATGCTTCTGTTTTACAAAAAAGAGTTTTTAAGCATTATACTTGTTGCTACAAACTTTGTTTGTAATGGCATTTGGCCATGCCACGCTAATGCTTTTGACTTCTGTTTTCCTTTTATATGTGCCATGCTAAGGGTTCAAGTGTCTGCCTGTCTTGTTAGCGCAACGGCGACCAATTCTCCGGGTGGAAAAAATGTGGGAACCCCATTTCTATGGCATTTGTAAAGGGAAAGGTGTTTTTTGTATTTTTTTGGCCAATCAATTCTGGATTGTTAATTGGGTCAATGTATGAAATTTGTAGCCATTTTATTGGACCCTGATAAGATCCTTCTATATTTCATAAATGAATTTTCTATTTGGTTCATCTCTCTCACCCTCGGTATATCTAGAAGTCATTCTTTAGTAGTTGAATTATAATTATAATTTCGTAATGCAATGTTTGTTGACAATTAAATAAAATAAAATTAATAAATACATATTAATTTATGCATTTTATTAAATATAAAAAATTTTATTTAACCTGTTAAAAATGTTCTCCTGGTAATAAATGTTGTCAATAAATAAGTATTACACATTTTATTTTAAATTATATTATGTTACACTATTTAAATCTTTAAATAAATGTATATTTCTGTTTTTTAATATTAAATTACTTGTTAAAAAAACAAAATAATAAGTTTTTTTTTAATTTAAAAAGGGTTTTTTAAATTTGTATTCTAATTGTATAAATTAAAAAATAAATTAAAAAATAATTAATATACTTTTTATCATGAAGTTACATAAAAAATAAATTTTGATTTTAATTTTAATAATTAACTAATTAAATTAAAGTACATGATATTGATATTAAAATTAATATCAATTTTTTTTATTTTTTTATAAATTAATAGTTAAAATATGATTTAATTATACTTAGAAGTTTAGAACATTATTAAAAAAATACTTTTTAATAATTAACTAATTAAATTAAAGTACATGATATTGATCTAAAATTAATATCAATTTTTTTTTATAAATTAATAGTTAAAATATGATTTAATTATACTTAGAAGTTTAAAACATTATTAAAAAAAATACTTTTTAAAAATGCAGGAAATAGTAAATGGTTTATGTTATTTGTCTTTTCAAGCCTATACGGCGCCGTTCTCTCGCTCTTGATGTAGATAGGTATCCCGCCAGAAACTGGCGTCCAGCTGGCGCTCCAAATTTGAATTTCAAATTCCTTTCAAAACCGTTTCACGACGTGGGAGCCGCGTGACCATTGATCTGCACTTCCTAAAAATTAGCAAAATCAAGAAATAGCCGTTAGATTCGCCCTTCCTCTCTTAAAATGTTAAAAACCCCGGAATTAACAACGGCCCCCTAATTCCAGCCTCCCTCTCGTCCCTCGTCCCTCTCCCTGCGATTTTCTGTCGATTCCTCTCATCGGAAGCGAAAATGCGTGAGATCCTTCACATCCAGGGTGGCCAGTGCGGCAACCAGATTGGAGCTAAGTTTTGGGAGGTTGTGTGTGCCGAGCACGGCATCGACTCCACCGGATGCTACCACGGGGACTCCGATCTCCAACTGGAGAGACTCAATGTTTATTACAACGAGGCCAGTTCCGCCAGGTACGTTCCTCGTGCTGTTCTCATGGATCTTGAGCCCGGAACTATGGACAGCATCAGGTCTGGTCCCTATGGCCAGATTTTCAGGCCGGATAACTTCGTGTTTGGCCAGTCTGGTGCTGGTAACAACTGGGCGAAAGGGCATTACACCGAAGGTGCTGAGTTGATCGATTCCGTTCTTGATGTCGTTCGGAAAGAGGCGGAGAATTGTGATTGCTTGCAAGGTGTGTGTTAATTCAATTACTAGATTAGATTTTTGCGCTTGTGATTGTTGTGATTTGTTTTCCTTTTCCCTGTTTCGGTTTTTCTAGGGTTTCAGGTTTGCCATTCTTTGGGAGGTGGAACTGGCTCAGGAATGGGGACACTGTTAATATCGAAGATCAGGGAGGAATACCCTGATAGGATGATGTTGACATTTTCTGTGTTCCCATCCCCGAAGGTCTCTGATACAGTTGTGGAACCATACAATGCGACTTTATCCGTTCACCAGTTGGTCGAAAATGCCGATGAGTGCATGGTGCTAGACAATGAGGCCTTATATGACATTTGTTTCCGAACACTTAAGCTCACAACACCTAGCTGTAAGTTTTCCCTTAATATATCTGGTTTTAAGGAGTTATGTTTAGTTAATCTTGAACATTGTCATAGAAATTCATGTTTGGTCAACATGTCTGTTTGTCATTTTAATGGTTTCTTTATCTAAGAAGCCAATTTATCATATCTTTGTCATTGTGTAGTTAGTTGATCTCTACAAGCAGCAGTGAAATTTTTTAGAAATTCACTTTTCTTGTGCTTTATTCTAGAACTCTTTAATCTTTTTCTTTTTGTACCTTAACTATTGAATGTGATTATTCATTTAACTTTTGAAACGATGTCAAGTGGTGTGTATCAAATTTTATTCAGTTGTCTTCTATTGATATCTTTATTTTTTTGCCCTTATTAAGATATCTCTGTTTCTCATTTCAAATCATGGAATTATGTGAAACTTTCCAAATATTTGTTTCTGGTGGAAGGGATTCTGTATCCAAACATTGTGTATCTGTATCTAACGAGTCTGCTTTATTGAGGACAATGCTGGCCAGTTTGCAGTTTTGATAGGTTCTTTTTAGTTTCCACTTCTAATGTCTGTGGGTGTTTATCAATTGCAGTTGGTGATCTGAATCACTTGATATCTGCAACGATGTCTGGGGTCACATGCTGTCTAAGATTCCCTGGACAGCTCAATTCTGATCTCCGGAAACTTGCAGTGAATCTCATTCCATTCCCTCGCCTCCACTTCTTCATGGTGGGTTTTGCTCCTCTCACTTCCAGGGGCTCTCAGCAGTACCGTGCTCTGTCAGTTCCTGAGCTGACTCAGCAAATGTGGGATGCAAAGAACATGATGTGTGCAGCTGATCCCCGACATGGCAGATATCTCACAGCATCAGCCATGTTTCGGGGCAAGATGAGCACCAAGGAAGTGGATGAGCAGATGCTGAATGTGCAGAACAAGAACTCCTCCTACTTTGTTGAGTGGATCCCCAACAATGTGAAATCAACAGTCTGCGATATCCCACCCACTGGCCTCAAGATGGCTTCAACATTCATTGGCAATTCAACATCCATCCAAGAGATGTTCAGGCGGGTGAGTGAGCAGTTCACAGCCATGTTCAGGAGGAAAGCTTTCTTGCATTGGTATACTGGGGAGGGGATGGATGAGATGGAATTTACCGAGGCAGAGAGCAACATGAATGATCTTGTATCAGAGTACCAGCAGTACCAGGATGCAACAGCGGATGAGGAAGGAGATTATGAGGATGAGGAGGCAGAATATCAGGATTAAGTATGAGATAAACCTCCAACCCCCAGTTGCTGGATGAATGCGAAAATCCTAGAAATTGTGAGAGACCAAGAAATTTTTCTTTTTTTGCTGTATGAACTTTAAAGTTGCAATTCTTCCTTGAAATTTAACAATACCATCCTTCATGCCCTTCTAGTATTCTCATTCTTAATTCTTCTTTGGAATTTGACAGTACTATTCTCCATCCCCTTTTATTTTAACAACAGCAATTCTTCAGGATTTACTTTTGTATGCCTGGATTTATTTGATGAGGTTACCAAGTTGGATTGCTAGTTGAAGATTTAATAAAAATTGAAGGGTAGAAAATGTTCCTTGTAATATTTGCAAGGGTATTATTGTATACCTCAAAAATAAACAACAAATTTTTAGAATTGAGTAATAAATCCAATCAAAATTTTAGAATTTGTAGGGTATCATTGTATGGTGCCTGCTAATCGGACTTATTAACGTCAACGTGGTACAATTATATGGATGGTATCCAAAATAATGTAAAGAAGAGTATTGGTAATATAATAAAAACAACAAATTATTTATGAAATTTTATAATGTAAAATTCTAAATTATATTTCCAAGTCCATCTATGATGGAATTATTGATAGAATAACCCTATAACAAAAATCATATAAAAATTTAATGTTAAAGGAGGTGTTTGTTTCAAATATTGGAGAACAGTTATTAATTGTTAATTTTAATTAAATAATTTAAATAATTTAAATTATAATTAAAAATAATTATCAATCATTAAATATTGATTATTAACCACTAAATATTAATTATTAATTATCAATTATATCAAAACAGCCAATCCAAGCAATCCTAAAATGTTTGTTTGCCCTTGTTCAGGGGCAACATTAAAAGAACAAATATAAGCGGGTCAATATGCTAATAAATAAAAGTAAGGAGTTCATTTTGTAACAAACCAAGTCCCTCTCAGCCTCTCTCCTGCTCGGCTCTCAGCCTCGTACCTCTCCCGCTGCGGATTTCACAGGAGAGCAAGCAAACAGAATAGAAGAAGTAAACTGAACAGCAATGGCAACAACCGTCGCACAGAGGGCGGTGCAAAATCAACCCTTTGGGATCCTGAGGCTTTCCTTGAACTTCGTGAGGAACCTGAGCACTGTTTCCTCTTCTACTCAAAACCCTAGCGCCTCCTCACAGGATGCTAAGAAACCTAAGCGAAGAAAGAAGAAGAATCTGTTCGAGGTGGCTCAGTTCTTGCCCAAATGGGGTATCGGCTACCACATGGCGAAAACGCACTGGACAAATGTCTCGTATCAGATCACCAAGATCAATCTCTACAAGGTATATGTCTCTAAATTAAATGCTCTACACTCACTTCTTTTTTCTGGGTTTAAAGTTTGATGTTTTGAGTCTATCTGGTAAAATTTTTCAGAACCAAATGGCGATTTGGGGGGGTTTTAGCTCTTTTACAATGTTTAATTTAATAGTTGGAGTTTAAGGGTTTATGGGGTTTTGATTGTTGCAGGATGGAAGACATGGCAAGGCATGGGGAATTGCTCATAAAGACGGTTAGTGTTTCAAAATTCTATTATTATTCTCACATTTCTGGTAAAAAAAGGTCATTTGTTCTGTGATTTGATTTGATCTACGCTGGGATTTTGGGTTTTTAGCTTTTCTATCACTACACTAACTTTTTCTATTATAGTATCTCAATTTTAATTATTTTTCATTTAATCTAGTTAGAAGTCTTAAATTTGATCGTGATGCTTTGAGCTTTTGTGGATAATAGACAAATGTTGAGTGGTAAATAGTGTTGGAGCTCTGTTAGAAACAAACTCTTGATTGCTCCAGTTTGTTGATAAAAGTTCTATTCTTAAGACTTTGTAATTTTCAAGGTTATAATTACTTTTTCCCATTGGTTTTTGACTTTTTGTTGCCATTTCGAGGCTATTTAACATTCATTAATTTGATGTTAGTTAATTGATATTCAATAGTCTCGCTGTGAGGAAATGAGATGTAAGATTGTTGTTTCTTATTTCATTTTTGTAGGACTTTGTTTAGGAGTTATGAAAATGTCATTAAAAAGTTGACTTTTGACAATATTTTGGTGTAAACTAATGCATGCTTTAAATAATACTTAAGGAAAAGGGTATCCAAGTAGGCGCAAAGTTCATCTCTCTCCCCAACTCTTGAGACAAGGCACCTTGTTTAAGTTATCTATCTTTCTCAGAAGGCAATTCTTACAATTTGGTGAACATTCAACATTTGCATATTTGTTTGTCCTTTTGGCCGGTTGGTGGTTGTTTTCAATTTTGCTAGGACTTAGGAGTGATAAATATCTCCTTGCTGTTACTACATTGCGGAAATAAATCATGGTTCGCCCAACTCTGTTGCTTCCTAGTCATGGTACATGAATTTCTTTGATTAATTCCTGATGGCAAAGTTACCTTATATCATGATCTTTCCTCTGTCATTAGGTTTGGAAAGGAACAACAGGTAACTTATTTTCCCAGTTTTCTTACATTGTGAAGGCAGTAAGCCTAAAATTTCACATATTATGTGCTGTTAAATAAAAGTTTCTTTAAGTCTCTTTGTTAACACTTATGACCAAAGTCGGTGTGTGATAACAAATGTTTAATAGCTTGTGTCTTGATCATGGCATGAATTATATTCAAAACTAATTTGTGGAAGTCTGAATTTGGATGGGGCATTGCATATACATACACCTATACGCACATGTTCCATTTCATGATGACTATGGAATAGTGTGTTTTTAATGCAGGCTTGCCAGCTGCTGATGCTCCCAAAAAGATAAGTGGAGTTCACAAGCGCTGCTGGAGATACATTCCACATTTGTCTAAACCAGCAGAAATCACACCAAACTTGATGAATCTAACAGAAAATGCCACAGAAACTGAAGCTCAAGTAGCTTGATGAGTTGTCTTAAATTCTGGATGTTGGCTTCCTGACCCTTTCATGATCCTTGGTTGATGCCTTTGCACTTGGTAGACAATATACACTGTGGTCTTTTCGGTGGCAATTTTTTATCCTTGTAACATTTCCTTTGTTCCAAGCTAAACCCATTTGTGTGATGCAATTGGGAAGGCTGATGTAGAACTTTCAGTTTTGCGACAGCGTTACATTTATGACCATTCTTCTGTTTTAAAGGAATTTTGCATTTTCCGTCTCTTTTCCGAGACAGCAATATATTGGAAATAAACGGTTAGTTTCTGATTTTATGTTCCATGAATTTCTTTAGATTTGTTTGTATTGAGTATAGTTAATTAACGTGAATAAATTACTGGTAAAAAATAATATGTACATCTTCAGAATTACTTGTTTCAATCATTTTATCCTCGCCTGCTGCTGCTAGGCATTTGTTAACACAGTAAAAGAATAAACAAGATCCAAAAAGTGCATAATAAAATGAAGATTAAGTTGGCCTCAGTACATTCTCAACTAGATAATAATTTAACTGTAAATGTCCAAGACAACAATGAGAATCTCTAATATTACTTTTTGCCAATATTCATTTCTTCCACAGGGTTGCTGATTTTGAATTCATCAACAGCCTTGTCAAAAGTGCTCCTGACATGCCTACACATTAACATCAGATCTTGACAAGCATCTTTTAATACTTCTCTTGCCGGATCACCTGCAAAATTCCATCCGAGATTGCAATCATGAACAGAACAAAAAAGGAATGTTATCAGAGACGCTTGGCTACACTATTTCATAATCAAAGTTCAATGGAAGTACAGTGGTTACCAGTTGTCTGGACTCTAATATTAACTCGAGCATCTGACGGGTGAGGAATGCTGTACCCACAAAATGTTACCCTTGGACTGCAAAATTAGATTATGAATGTTCTCAGGATATTGTTATACAAAAAAGCAGTAGAATTATTCAGATACAAGAAAACAGACATCATGTCTCCCTAAAAGCTTAACAAGTGGTTAGTTCAAGTTCAATATTTTATCTGAAATTGCATTCATAAATACTTGGCTTGATTTTCAATGTACTGCCTCATGGAATCAAAATTACTGAACTCTTTTTTCCTGATTCAACCACTGGTTGATAAGCACTAAATGGTTCAGTTGATATCCAGAACTTTAGCAGGGAATTCTACAAGTAATCAAAGCACAGCAACTAGAATTTGGCACATGAAGAAGCAAGATTGGTGTGGATCTATCTCTTACTAGAAATGATATATAAATAGGGGCATCAGCTTAAATGAATACATAACTTAAAAATATATATATGTATATATATATGTATATAGTAAAGTAGCTTAAATACAAAAATTAAGTGTGCTTCTTTAACTGATTGAAGAACAAAAACAAAAACTAGAACAAGAATAAAAGTAGGATTAATGAACTCAATACAGTTAACAAAAGAAAATGGGAAACACTAACTCTTGATTCAAGGTGAATCTAACAGCATTTGCTAGTGTATGATCCTCTTCAGTCAAAGAAAATGTTGCACTACTATGATCTGTGAACGTCCCATGTTCCATGGCTAACTTTATTCCTGCAACCAAATGAAATTCCCAAACCTCGTTAGTAAAGATTACAAGAAGAATAGCAACAGCAGTAGCAATATCATCTCCTAAAAAAAAGAAAGCTCAGGTTAGAAAAAGAAAAGAAGCAAAAGGCACCAATAAAATCTTAAGTTTTATACTATAATCTCATTTGCAGGCTCTTTCAAAAAAAAAAAAAATTCTTCAATTTGCAAAGTAATTTAACAGGATTCCAGCATTTTCCCAGCAACCAAACAGAGAATATGAGTTTACAACAAATTGAATCTACACTACTCAGATGTCCATAAAATAGAGATGATGATAGATAAAGAAGATTGCTTTCCAGAATCACAAGTGTATGCATCTGCAGCTACAATTACAAAGACACAGCATACCTCAATATTACCATCAACAAATTCATAATCTTTAATCCTCTCTTAACTCGAAACATCAGAAGTAGAAATTCAAAGAATCAATGGAAAGAGAAGAAAAGATTGAAGACGAGATGGAAGTGAAACTTACTCGTCGTCGGAGCCGGAGACGCGCCGGGAGCTTGAGAAAGAGAGTATCGATTTTCCTCAACCCTAGGCCAACCGACGGCGGCACCGCAATTGGGTTTTGCGTTATTTAGCGGTTCTTTCGTCAAATTACCATAAACCCTAATAAATAATTTATCAATTATATAAAAGAATGGCTTTTTGGTCATTTCAGCTTGCAACATGCAAAACCCATGAGTTATAAAACTAAAACCCTTCTCCCCTCAGATAAACGAAAGATCTTTCCAATCAATTTGGAACTCCAACAAATCCTTAAATCCTAACAAGCAGGCAACTCCAAAATTCAGAAATTTTGTGTAAGATTTGATGAATCCGTTTGCTGCTACCTGTTAATGATTACTTTTATAGGTCTGTTTTGATATGGAATTCTGATTACAGTTTTGTTGGTCCAGGTTTTAATGGCAGCTAACAATACTCGGACGCCAGAGGGCATAGATAAGGAACAGGTAAGGCATTGGTCTTTCTTCTTAGTTTCCCAATTACGAAATTGCAGAAAGAAAAGAACTTTAATTAGTTATTTTGTTGTTTACATGATGAATACTGTCTGTCAGTTAAATTAATTCTTTGGCACTTAACTACAATTTGATCTTCAGTAATGTTCTGTTACTGTTTAATTTGATTACAAATACATAATCTGTTTTTAAAAAATAACTAGAAATTTTATTGACATCAAATCAAGCCATATTCTCGCATTGGGTTTGCTGTTTTGATTCTATAATGCCTGCTGGTGATCATGAGGATAAAGTTGGAATCTTTGGGTTTTTTTGTTTTTAAATTTTTTTCCTGAATTTTGGTCGGAGGATGCAACTCTGAAACCTCCTTTTCCAATATGGGCTGATTTGAAAGTTGATGTTATTTGATCATTTTGCAGGCCTTCGTTATGGCACAATCAGATATGGAGTATAGGATAGAAATGTTTAACAGGTAGGTTTTGCTTTCACATCTTGGAATGCAATTATTGATTGACATTTACTTGGCCTTGATTATTATGTAAACTAATACCACAGGTTGAGGATTTATTGATTGATTTCTTGAAACAATTGCCTTAGACTATTTTCTTTGAGTGGACTTTACACAATGCTGTTGGTGCTTTCAAAATCTCTACAAAAGTGTGTCAAGAAAATTGAATGTGATCATCTTTTAGTTACCAACTCCTAAAATCTCCCAAAAGGGTAGATTTCTGCTGTTAAGTTTTCCTAAGCTTGCTCTCATCTTTGTATATCACTGTATCTGTTACAATCTGAAAACATGAGAGCATATTGGTAATGAAGAATTTTTCCACTTTTATCGCTAGCGTTCTTTTTTTTTTTCAGTACATAGGTTCCTGATTTCAACCTGTTTCATTTTTTTGATCCAGGCTTGCACAAACATGTTTTATCAAATGTGTTGACAAGAGGTATGATAAGTTTCTTCCTTCATCCCACTCCTTCTTGTTTATCCCAACCCCCACTCATAGTGCCCGTGAATTTGTGTAATTAATTTCAACTTTGAGAGTTTTGGACTGTGGCAATGAGAAATCTTTTCTCGTTCACAAAGTTTCACTCCATAGATTCCTTTGAAATAATGAATCATACAATAGTCATATTATTATGAGAATTATATACCAACTCATGATACTTCTTCCTAAGGAACAGTCATGATGTTAACAGTTGTCTGTATTAGGTACAAGGAACGTGAGCTAAATATGGGTGAAAATAGTTGCATTGATCGCTGTGTGTCCAAATACTGGCAGGTATGCGCAATTTATTCTTTTGACTTTATATTTTAAATAATCATTAGAGGATAGATTAAATAAAACCACAGTATGATTTCATGCAAACATGGTTCTAAGTTTTTGCTTGAAATGTTCTTTCTTGACTTGATATCCTATTGTTCTTATTTTGTAGGTGTGGTCTTATTGGTCAGATGCTGAGCGCTGGTGGTCGGCCTCCTCCGATGTAAAATATCAGAATCATCTTCTCGTAAATATGCTATACCTTTATGAGCAGGCCTGCTTCTGTAGAAGCTGGAGGCTGAAGCTCACATAGATGGGTTTATTATGCCTGAATTGATTTGGTCTTTGATATTTTTTGAAGCTATATCACAGTTTTGAATTACAGAAATAAAAGATTCTGTTGCGAAAGTAAGCTTTCCCTCCTTTTCTCTCTTTTTGGTGCAAAAGCGTTCTGATAATATCAGTTTCCTGCAATTTTCAAGTTCAACCATTTGGCTGCAAAAATTTGTTTACATAAAACTAAGCAGCAAGGCAAAAAAGGAATACAAAAAATCACAGAAACCAGAACTAAGGCACCAAACCTTCTAGCTCAATCTGGATTGACGGAAGTCAATGGCCATTAACATTCGATGCTTTTAGCAACCATGTTAAAGATTGATTTTCATGATAGCAAACTCAAAAATCCACTAAATCAATGTATCTCCTGGTGTTGAGAGAATCTTGAGATTGACATTAGAAATGAAAACCAATATCAACAGCATAGATGTTAGAATTATAACCCTGTGATGCTGCGGACACATAAATGCCAAAGAGGAACGGACAAGTAAATACAAGGAATATTTTAACGAAAGGTTAAACAGACCTATACATCTTCACTTTCTATGGTTTTTTTGCTTCCAAGTTTGTTCCGTCTTTGAGTGTTTCCTGTGCATCATTGTCCATTCCAAGCGTGAACAGGGCAGCAGCTTGGAGATAAAATGCTGTAGGCCATGCAGGTGATATTACTTGGGCTTGCATAGCATCCCCAAGAGCTTCTTGGGGCATATCATTCATCAGGTAACACAAGCAGCGCCTTGCAAACACAGTTGGTGACACCATGGTACCACCATCAATGAACTAGCACAAAGAAGCCAGAAAATAAACCACTTAGCACATCATGGGCATTAAATTTCATTTTGTGGCTGCCCAAAAACATTTGACTTCATGCTTGCATGAAAATGTTTTGCAAATTCTGAGCAAGCTACTTACATGGGTGTAACACTCAATGGCGGTTCCAATGTCCTTGGCTCGGAAAGCTGTATCTCCACGTTTTTTTGAGTTCAGTGTCTCTTGTATTTGATCCGTCCACATTTGGAAAGAAAGCTGCAAAGCAGAAACATCGAAAAATGGTCAGCAGATGAATGAGATGGACCATGCATTGTAAAAAAAGATTGTTCGATATCATGAAAGTTATCAAGTAGTTTTCCACCCTACAACTGGTTTGAAGGAAGAAGTCAGCTCTAGAAAAAATCAACAATCAAACAGAAAAGCTTGTATTGACATGACTTCACTGGGGGCATGTATGAGATCTAATGATTAGGAACATTCTAGTCCATCTTCCTGAACTTTCTTGACATGTGATAATATACTTATCTATTAGGCTATCTACCAGCTGACTTTTCACAGCCACAAGGGCCCTTCTTTCAGTTATAGTGGTCTGAAACAACATAAAAAGGCAGGATTAGAAAGTCACTCACCTCATTCGCAATCCCTTCATCATCTTTGTATCCAACCTTCTCCAATATTTCATGTATTGCAGTGAGATCCATTCTTGAGCATGCTTCACCTAGAGGCGTTAATGATATTGTTTGCTTTGAAGATGCAGTTCCATGTGCAATGCCCATTAGAACATAGGATGGAACCTGATAAGCAAGAAAGTAAATGAGGTAACATAGTTCTTCAAGCTTCAAGCTATTAGATACAGTACTTCAACCGCATCTATTGAATTGTCCAGAGATTAGTTAAAGCACTTGATGTTTAATGAATCCTGTTGTGAAGAAAAATCTGATTGGTATTATGGTAATGTCATTAATACACTTGGCAGAAATTGAAAGGGACCATTTGCAGCTATGGTTTAAATACAGGTTTATTTTTGAAGAGGTTAATCTAAAGAAAATTTAGAGCTGAAAATGGAAAGGAAAATGGAGGGATGTAAGCAAACCTCAGTCTCTTTCTGAAGTGGCATCAGTGCAGTTACCAGAGACTTTGCATTTGGCCTCTCACGAGGTTCATATTGTAAACAGCGTGAAGCCAACCGCACTAACTCAGTTCCATCGTCATTTGAGAAATGACCCTCCAAACATGAGTCCATTAGCATCAGAAAGTTTTTACCCCGTATAAGATCCAGTGCCTGACAAATAAGGTAATAAGGAAGCATTTAGCCTGAAGTGTTCCATATGATAAGACTACGGGTATCTGCATGATGATAATGTTCCAACAATGAAGCATACAAGCTAATTATTTTCTAAGAAAATTGTGAAGTATATCATATTTATATAGTTACCACTTTAGGTGTTTGTAAAGCACAAACAGTGTCAACATCTAGAGGTTAAATGAAGAGTTGAAGAAAAGAAACACTTACATGACTGGGAGGGATATGCTTGCCACTGAGAAGATCAAGCAATAGGGTGCCAAAGCTGTAAACTACACTCTCTGCAGTCACTCTACCTGCCATATAAAGATGTCCAGCATTAGCTGAATTAAATAACCCATGGTAAAACACAAATGAAAATCTAATTAGCCGATTGATTGCAGTTACATAAATTGATACATACATACATCCAAATTCAACATTGCATTTTTCCACTTGAAAAAATGTTCATGAACTGTATTTATTAGCATATTATTACCTGTCCTCAAGTACTCTGGAGGTGTGAAAGCCAAGTTGGTGCTATAACTCTTCCCATCTCTGCTATTTTTCATAAGGCCAAAGGTGGAGAGCCTGGGATTACCATCCTGTCAAGTAGTAACTGTTAAAGGTTGCTACCAAAGAATGGCCAGGTTTATAATATAAATAACGTAATAGGACTATTGAATGTTAAAAGGGCAAATGTACTTGATCAAACAGGATCCTATAGGCATTAAGGTCATGATATAATGCCCTCCCTTTACTGCTGCAATATTCAAGAGCTTGGGCAAGATATAAAGCAACTCTCAGCCTCATCGCCCATTTCATGGGCTGTATCTCCCCTGCACCATTTCAACCAATACAAAATCATAATGTAATTAGTAAGATATACATCATAGGCATTATATATGTTCTTAATTAATAAAAATTTAGTAGTCTTGCCTTATCAGTCAATTAGATACATAAGAAGTGTTCATCCAAATTAAATTAAATTCACACTCAACAGAGCTCATTGCAATTAAATTAACTGGAGAATTAAACTAAACCAAAACGCCTCTTAGGGAGAAAAGGAGCGAAATTTACAGTGAAAAAGATGCCTGGAAAGAGTCTCGTTCGGCATAAATTCAGCAACAAGCAATCTCTCATTTCCTTCAGAGCAACACCCTATCAGATTGGCCAACCGCTCGCTCCTTAACTGCCCCACTGCTCTCGCCTCCTCCTAAACCAAAACTCAAAAATCACAACTTAGAGAAGGAAGTAGAAACAAAAACATTCCACTTAACTCTAAATTGTAAAAAAGGTGAAAAATTAAATACAGAAGAGCACGAACAAGGAACTGTCGAGGATCCGGCCACGCCGATCTATTAAAACGTTTAACAGCGATCCACTGATCATCGCCGAGCTTCCCTCTGTAGACTACATTAGGAGCCTTCTCCCCATGCTCCGATACAATGTTGTCCGTCGAGAACCCTGAGGTGGCTGCTCTCAGCTGGTCCAAGCTGAACTCCGTAAAACCAGCTGGCAACGCATCATTCCCATTCTCTAACCAAACAAAACCAAATACATTCAATGAGAAAGCGAATGGAAAGTTTAAAAATGAAAATTTCGCGAGAAAGTGATGGAAAAAAGAACAACTCACCGAGATCAGAGGCGTCATCGAGATTTGACCTGAGGTTCGACGACCACCAGCAAATGGATAGCTTGGAGCAGCGAGCTCCCATTGGTTAAGCTCAATCTCGAGCACAACAAAACGAAAAGAAAATTGAAATGAGAACTAGCAAATAGATTAGTTTCGCACTTTTTTCTTTCTCGCTTTTACTTTCTGAGCTTGGGAACTAGCTCTGAGAGAAGAGCGTGAGGACTGAAGCAAGAAAAGTACTTGTACTAAAAGGAAGCAGCACTGTTTGGAAGGCGAGAAAGTGAGAGAAAATAAAAGAAAGGTGAACTTTTTGGATCCAAGGTTTCATCTTTCTCGCATTTTCTCACCACTACATCATCATTCTCTCGTTTCTCCTCTTCAATTTTATTCCTTCTCAAGACATTTTTTTAATGTATATGCTTCTTCACCAAACAGAGAAAACAATCCCACACTGGAGCTTCGCGCTTGGGAATACGAACCAAAGATATCTAAACACGTGGACTTCCCTGGCTGATTTAGTTGTAGTATAAAGTTTGACAACATAATTTGGAAAAAGTATAAAGCCGTTTCCATTGCTAATTTTGAAATATGTATATATATACAACAGTTTAGGTTGTATTAAAATATATTAATTATTAGATATGAATAAATTTTTTTGTTGAAGTTTTTTATTTAATAGTTTATATTTTATACTCTGAATTATAAAATAGAGTTTTTGTATAATTTTATATAAAAAATAAATAATAATTAAAATTTTATTTATGAATAACGATTTATTTATAAATAATTTTATATATTATATTTACATAAATTTTTAATTCTTAATTTTTTTATTTTTAATTGTTGAGATTTATAGATGTGTATAAGTGACAGGTATCATTGTATGGTGCCTGCTAATCGGACTTATTAACGTCAACGTGGTACAATTATATGGATGGTATCCAAAATAATGTAAAGAAGAGTATTGGTAATATAATAAAAACAACAAATTATTTATGAAATTTTATAATGTAAAATTCTAAATTATATTTC